TATATATATATATATTTGTATTATATATAATATAAATATATTTAAATGCTGTTTTCTCATGATGTGCTTCTTTTTGTAGTGCTTAAGCCTACTTCCTCTTGTCAGACTTCTTCTTCTCAACCCTTTATAGGCCAAGTTAGCGTTTTTGATCATTTGCATAGTGTTTACAAACAAGGCCCCCCCCCCGTCCCTCAGTGAGGTCTAGAAGTAGAAGATCTATATCCAGCCATTCAGCAAAGATACTGCTACATCTTATGTTAGCATTTGACCAATTAAGTGAGCCCTTGAATGATATATTACCTACTGTAAGTTGAAAAAGTTAACAAGTCAAGAAAAAAGGTAAAAGCTAATTGAAAAGTTAAAAAGTAAAGGTAAAAAGTTAATAAGTCTAGTTAACCATTGTATTTAGGTTTATAAACTAAAAAATATAAGTGCCAGTATCAGCATTAATGTCTCTAAGGTTATGTTGTACAAAAAAATGTCTTTCTTTCACTCTCAGTGTTTTTCATGAATTTCTTATAGAAGCGCTTTTGTTATTTTTCTTACTATATTCGGGCAAGTTGCCATTTCTAGTTGTAACATTTACATAAATTTTTGCCATCAAAATATTCATATTTTTTTACTGTTACCAAGATAATAAGGTTTTGTCCAGGATTCCAATGAAATTATTGGCTTGAAATGTATATTTTCAAAGTATTGCACTGAGTGCTCTATGAAGGGTTAAGTGATTTCTTGTTTGACAGCTCTGGCAGTAATCAGGACTGTATATAGCGAGCAGAGTTTCACTAAGCTTTTTATAACTTATAGAACAGGTTGTTGTGTAAAAATGTTTTATATATATGTATCTTTAAAACTTCCTTTTGAATGTACACAAAAGATTATTATTGATCTGATAAAAAAAATGTTTTATTATTGTGATATTTTTTCACAGTACTAAATCTATAGTCTGTCCTTAAAGGCCACAATAAAAATAAAATAAGTGTCGAGTGATCAAAAAAAAAGTCTGCATACTTCCTGTGAGCCTGTCTTTGCGATACTGCTGATGAATTGCCGTTATCTTCTCCAGCAGCATCTGCATCTTCTGACAGCTGTGGAGCAAAATGAACCATAGTTTCAAACAACTCAAATATATTCTCCACAACAAATCCTTGCTCTAAAACGAGCCGTACCCCTTATCATGTGTGAGGGTCTCGGCCAGCTTGGCCTGCTGTATCTGCAGGTGCTCCAGCTGGGTCTGAAACTCCCGGATCCCAGCAGAATAAATAGGCAGGTGCTGATGAATCTAAAACGACAATATGAAGAGAATCTCTTCAGTGATAAATAAACTAATTAATATGATTATTATTATTCAAACATCTACATTAGGGCTGTAACATTATTATTTGATAATTCTAGTGATTACACAAATAATCAAACAAAAAAGAAATAACATTCTGCAAATTGTTGACTTATTGCTCCAGCTTCATTATATATATATACACACACATATACATACATATACA